ATGTGTAGAGGAAGTCTGTAATGTATTAAATAATGACATAATATTTAATCAATGGATTAAATTCCCACAGACCAGGGCAGAGAGTAAGAAATATGTCTTAATTCTTTGTGATTAGTAAAATGGGGAAGTTTACCTACCCAGTTTATCACAAAGAATCGAGACATATTTCTTACTCTGTTCTTTATTTTAGTTTCTTTCAACAATACAACATTCCTGGGATAATAGGAGTAATTGACTGTACCCATATTGCCATCATTCCACCACCCCGAAATAATGATGAGCATATATATGTCAATCGTAAACACTACCACTCTCTCAATGTTCAGTTAGTGGGTGACATCAATCTTAAAATCACAAACATAAATGAAAGATTCCCAGGCAGTACTGGTGATGCCCATATTTGGAATAATTCTGCATTAAGCATATCAATTCAAAATCTACACCAAAGAAGACCAGAATTTTATTTAATAGGTAAGTTTGTTCTTAAAATAATGAAGACTATAAAAAAGAAAGTAAGACATTCAAATCATGTGTTATGATTAGTGGACCCTTAGTAGAAAATATTAAATGTCCACCAGATCAACGTAACCTTATTATATATGTGCTTGTAAACAAAAATATTTAAAGTATTTTACTTTTAGGGGAGTCCGGATATCCACACCGCCCTTGGTTACATGTACCTATTCCTGATGCCCAAGAAGGCACACCCGAATTCCGATACAATCAAAGCTTTAGAAATGCAAGAAGTTTGATAGAACGCTGCAACGGTTTGTTAAAAATGAAGTGGAGATGTCTATTAAAATATAGAGTTTTGCATCATACCCCAGAGAAAACAGCCAAAATTAGGAATGCTTGTGCTGTTTTGCATAACATGTGCATTGAGTACAATGTGGATGTACCAAGAAGGTGATGAAGAAATAGACTTTGGGATATACCATGATTATATGGATGACCTACAGTTAATTCTTGAAATAAACCCTGATTTACAAAGGGCCAGGTGCATGCAACAAAGAATTGTTAATAATTATTTTGTCAATATTTAAATTATTATATTTTTTATTTAATAAAATATTTTTGTCCTAAAAATGTGTGGTTAGCCACCAACGATTCTGTAACTCACCAAAAATTTTTGATTATGACACTACTTATTTGAATGTCAATAACGTCATACTGGGATTACTTATGAATTGAATAGCTGCAGGTCACCCTTCGTGATAGTAAATAATAATCGAATATTTCATAGTCAGAATTAAAAGATTTTAAACCATATTTTTAAACAAAGGATTTTCAAAATATCGATTTAAATAACATTCATTTTAAAACAAATTGCAAATCTTAATATTAAAAACGCTATTAATAATAAACAATATATTATTACAATGTAATGATATAAAAGCATATTTTTCAATATTCAAATTCTTCAAAATAAACAAATTCTCTTCAAATAAAGCTAAACAAAAACAAATATTCCTTAAATGAAATTTTCTATGGGTGAGTAGAGTACTATTCATCAATAATTCTAGACAGACGGTCTGCTATCGTTTTTTTTCTAAGTGTATATCATTTTGCAAGATTTTAATTTTTGTCTTTTGATTTTAAGAATCTCCCTTTGGATATCCAATTTTTCTTGGTAGTAAGACTGTAAGATTTGCAATTTTTGTTCATAGTATCGTTCTTTTATGTTCACATCTCGATCTGCAACTTCTATCATTTCATGGTTTGCTGTTAACATTTGTTTCTTTGAAAACTTCTGTTTTTTTAAATTGTCCATTTTTTGTTTCAAGCTGTAACTGTGTTCATTTTCTTTGTGTCCATCTCCAGACACGCTTGGTTCTACTTGTACCATTTCTTCATTATTAATTTCCAATTCAGTTTGCTCGATATCAGTTATAATTTCTTCGTCACATGTGTCCTGTAAAATATAATAAATAAAAACAAATATATCATACCAAATCAGAAAAAACTTACATTGGTAACTGTTGACTCTTTTACATGTGGGTGGCCTTCAATAGCTGTTTCTCCAATAATATTTATTAACTGTTCATCTTGACTACATAAAACTAATTTAATTGGGTCGCTACCTTCTCCCATCTTTCCTGATCTCAGTTCGTTATCATTTTGTAACATATCTATTAGATTTTGTTTTTGTGTATCGCTTACAAAACCCCTTTTAGCCATTTTATAAAATTTTACTTTTCAAAAAACCACCATGATACAGAAAACTGAAATTAAAGCAAATGAAAAACCCATAAAGAAAAACCGAAAATATGCGTCCATAACCTACATTCTGCCTACATCAAAATAACAATTTTTCAGTTCTGCCAACACGTCAAATGAGTAAAATGCATGTATCTGATTGGTAGTTACGCTAAAACAGCAGAGTTTAGCACCGACATCCGTAATTATTGTAATTCTTCAACACCATAAATTCCTAATGGTTCCAGAATACTGAAAATTGTGTTACGCCATTATCAAGATAATTTTTTAGTGAGAATTAATTCTTACGATGTCCAGAATCGGGCCCCAGGGAGGCTATTTTCAAACTCGCGAGAATTCATTTCTCTAAAGAGTAAAGAATATAATAAAGCAAATGTTACATTCTTTTTTCTTTCGAAATGAAATTCCTACATTTAAAAAATTATACCCCTAAATAGAAAATAGTCCCACTCTTCCAAATATATTATATTTTCATCTGTAAAAAATATTACATGAATTAAATTTTCGTTACAAAAAACGTGACAGAAAAAGCTTTTTAATAGAGAAAGACCAAATCATTGCGTGGAAACAAAAAAATGGAGAACGAAAGGAATCAGTATGAACAGCTATTTTATTTAGATGATACATGGGTTAATGCTCCACATACAATAACAACAATTTGGTAAGATACCTTCGTCAAAATTAAAAAACAAGCTTTTATGGAGGAGGTCTCTTGTGGATTAAAAAATCCAACGGGTGAAGGAAATCGTATAATAATAACCCACATTGAAAGCATCGACGGATTTTTGCCAAATGATTTATTAATTTTCGAGTCAAAGAAAACAAAAGACTACCATGAATAAATGGATGACCCTATGTTTGAAAATTGGTTTCAGAACACTTTAAAAAAATTCCAGCCAACTTCGCTATTGTTTTGCATAATGCATTCTATTACAGTTCGTTAAAGGAGTCACTACCTACAACAAGATGAAAAAAAGATATCTCAAAATGGCTTCGTTCTAAAAATATTGTCAATCCTAAGTCCTTCAAGGCAGAATTACTCGTAATAGCAAGGCAACATAAAAACAAATTCAAAATAGCTATTTGTGTATCAAGACCAGAAAGTATCACTTTATCAGTTGAGACAGAAAGTTGCCACTCGACGCGTTAGCAGAGCAAGGCAATCTGTTGAAACTGCCGAAGGACTTTCTGCTTGAATTACACACAAGATTTTTTCTATGATCACAGCAATATAAAATAAATATTTAATTTAATTAGAAATAGGTTACCTTCTTTCCAGAGATCAGGGACATAATGATCGGAAACGCAACGACCGCTATCTATGCGTCTCAGATGTTAACTAAAGGTACACGTTGTTTGTAGACAGACAGTAGACGTGGACAGTTTGTAAAAATAAATGTCAATTAGTTTGTATGTAAATCGTATAATCCTGAATTTGAATTTTAAATTTTCACACCTGTGTAAAAAATAAGAACAAAACCTTTAAACTTGCAAATAACGATCAAAAATTTAAAAATGTTTATTATGAATATATTTACAATAATTAATCAATAATAGACTGTAAGTGTAGTATTCTGTTTAATAAATATTTTACCGTAATTTACATTATTTAAATTTATTTATCAGAACATGAAAGTGCAATCGATATTTATACAACCTTTATTATCAGGTTTTTAAATTTTCCGCTGTTATTTGTTTGATATTGACGAAAGCGCCACATAGTGGGTCAGATGTTAACTACGTTTGAGCTGGTCGTTGATAAGCATATGCTTCTTTTGAGCGTTTCCTATCTTTATGTCTCTTATCTCTGCTTCTTTCGTTATAATATTTATTTGACATACGTCTACTCTTCGAAGAAAGTTTTAGTAGTTATATATCGGTAATTATTTATGACTTTATCATTTAATTATTTAGGGAAAATATATTTAAAATATTAGGAAATCAATGAAAATATTTTAGATTAGCCTACATTTTGTTTTAACATACCAATTAGCTTTCTTTTATTTAATTTAAATGAAAATAGACAAGCCTATGCCAAAGTTACTTATGCGCACATATGCGCCAATAATGTCAAATTATGACAATTCGCGGAAAACGTCAACTTTCTAGTTATCGTCGGTGAAACCAGAAAATGGTGTTTTAAAAATGGCCCCGCAAATATTTTTTTAAAGTTTACAAAAATGCGTTTGGTCAATTCCAACTATTAGAAAGTATTGATTACTATTTTTTTTTCTGGAGATACACTTATTTCATTTTTATTTTTGCATTTTTTATGTACACACATTTCTATATAGGTAAATTAGGAAAGACTTTGCGTAATTAATAGAAACGTAATAATATTTTATTGAAAAGAAAACTCACAAATATAAAATGGAACTAATAATGGGGAATATTATCGTAAAAGTAGTGATAATCTGCTTTTAGGCTCTTTTTTAGTGATTGTAAATGCTCGAACTTCTCTTTTTCGATCGATCGGTCGGTAATTTTAAACAATTATCAATGGTCCGTCTATAGCTAGCAACTCTGTTTTGGTATGGAATACAATAAACTACAACAAATTATTTCTTAACAAAACAAATATTTTTGAAAAGTTACTGCTTCCTTATATCTTCCACCGTAACCTTGCACTGATCCTCTCTTGTCAGCAGTGCCACATTTGAGCAGTTAAATCCCTTTAACGATTTTAGTTTCATTTAAATTTAAGTTATAACACTTGAGAAAGTTGCAGTTATATTTTTACAGATAATTTAAATACAATCTCCTACACAAAAATAAAAAACTGGTAAATTTTTGAGTTGATTATTTATTTTAGTCTATTCTAATAGGTACATTAATAATATTTTTAGGGTTTAATTTTGATTCACAAATAGGGTATAATAATGATGTGCAAGGAGCATCATTCCAATGACCAGAAGAATAAAAGCTAGGAGCTACGACTAAACAATTCTCGTTTCCATCATTGTTGGATGGTTCTCCAGTACCCCAGTCGAAGAACGTAATTATTTCTAAGTTGTTAGTTAACCATATCCAGTCGTTTGATTTGGCTAATTTTGTTCCTGATGTCCAAAATGAAGATGTGCTTACATAACCTAGAAATCAATATATTAGTATTATTATTCTTATTATTTTTCAGCCATTAAAATTTTTGTTTGTAATTTACTACTTGAAAAACCAATTTTACTTTAGTAGAAAATTATTTCATCTTTTTTAGACCTGGTATTCATTGCAATGGATACAAAATTTAGTCTTCCCAGGTATCAAGAAATTAATACTTTAAGCTATTTATCTATGCATACCTACATGTTTAGGGTATGCATCTGTTATTTATATCAATTTAACAAGACCTCTTAAGTTTTTGTTTTAGTTTGTGTTTCGTGCTTGCTGAAGAAACTAATTGTTGGAAAACAATACTAATTATTTTCCGCCAGGATAAACCCAAATAATTTTGACTCCTCTTTATTCTTACGTTGCGGCATACATATTAAAATCAAATCATCTGTTTCTCTTGTTACCAACATTAATTGCTTTAAAAACACATTAAACGGTGACCTAATTTATGCAACCAATCTACCACCCCGTTCCTGATTGGCTGCACATAAAATAACTATCAAAACCCGAGAAGATCCATTTCCCGCTCGTTACTTTGCATTTTAGCATCAGTGTCAGCGTTACTAACTCTAGAGAAATAAAGAAACTAAAGTGAATTCTAGGGTATTTTAAAAAGTTTTAAAATAAACTTAAAATAAACAATAAGAATTTTTTTAAAAGGCAATACGACTTTTAATTTTTTGCAAAAATGAAGAATGACATATTATATGATAGACCAACAGACTGATGATGATTCATCTGTATTTTATGCTTATTTTTATTTTTTTTGAAAATACTTTTTTTTAATAATTTATTATTTTTCTTTTTTTATTTCTTAAACATGTTTTAATTGATTTTTGTAACAAAAATATGTTTTATTTCAAAATTCACATTTATTTGTGTGATTATCATGGATTTGTTTCAGGTTAGTTTAGCAGCTAATTAAAAAATCCCGCCGAATTTCAAGCCAGGGCAATTTCAAAAAGCACATAGGGAAATTATCTTTAAACTTGTTGGCAACGCTGATCAGTGATCAGTATCGATCTTGACTGAACGCAAGAGAAGTGTTCTCTGGAGTGAGTGTTGTTTGTTTCCCGACTTGGTGAGTGGCAAGCCGGCGTTCGTACCTTAAAGATTTAATCTCAAGTCGGTATCTGGGAGTGTTGTGTGGTAAAACCATAGATAAATTAATAAGACAAGATTAATTTTTTAAATGCACGCCACTGTCAACACGTTGTAGTTCCCAGTATACTATTAGTTAGCGCCACCATCGCAATAGTATGAGAGCGATGTTTCCGGTTTTCGTAAACTTTCATGAGATAAGAGTTATTTCAAATTCATCTCATTTTAATTTTTTATTAATCTACATGCACACCATACAATGTCCATACTACTGCCCGTCTGACCCGGGTATAGTTAAATATTTTCGAGAGTATTCTTTTTTAGCTCCCAATTATTTAAATAAGTAGTATTCTAAAATTCAGAAAGTTGGTTATTCAAATATTAAACGTTCTTTCATTTTCCTTCCGATATTAAAATTTGCCAGAACTGCTTTGAGACTTTAAATTTAACTTTAGATAATACTCGCTATCTTTGTGCAGACCATTTTCGTCCGAGTCTTTTAGTAAGGTTTTCTCAAAAGGTAAACTACTAGTTGGACATTCTGTACCAATTTCAGTAGATAATTGTACAGCCAGTACAAATATACAACCTGAGAATTAGATTTTAGAATATGTTGAGGCTGAAGCACAAATATAGTAGCATAAGAAAAACAAGAAATTAGTTGCAAACGTAAACTTAATAATTAGTGATGAACAATTTGAACGACCCTCAAAACGAAGAAAAACAATAAATTAAAGTAAAGTCAGAAATTTAAGTCCTAAAGAGAAATATTAGTTTTTTTTTTAAAGTAATAAATGCAAAAAAAAACTTAATAAATAATAAATTATATTTGAATGAACCGCGGTTGGTTTAAAGCTCTTCTTTTTTATTCTTCTCTTTCTTATTCAGCCTCTCTAGCTGGCAAGTCAATCAGCCAGTGTAGTTCAAAAAAAATCCGTTCCATACTAATTCGCAGCTCTATACGTTTCCAAAAATTAACACGGAATCCGAGTATCTTCTTTATTAATTTATCTATGGGTAAGACTTTAAAAGTAGCAAATAAATGGCATCTGATTGAGACGTAGTCTTTAGTTGTTTATGTCTCACGAATTATTAACTTTCCTCTTTTTCAAGTACTGTTTAAAAAACAAGTAGTGTTCAGCTAGGTAGTGTATATTAATGTGTCATGTACCAATTCTCAACCTACCTACCCAGTGTTGAAGACACACCCCGCAACTAGCCAGAAAAATGTATATAGTCCATTTTAATACACTAATGTAAGAAAGTTACTAAAACCTTGATATCGGTGTTGATACGTTATTAATGTATATATTTATTTTAAAAATTAAATAAAAATAGAGGAACAATATTATTTCAATTAAAAACAAGGTGAACATTCATCAGATAATTTAAAAATTTACAGTTTTCAGTTCAGTTCAGTTCCAGTAGGTTTAAAATTATATGTCGATTGGAATATACTACAGGTCTAAATTATTATTTTTTTCAGTATACAATCCAGAAGACTGACACGGATATTATGCTATTATGTTTAAATGATGATCAAATAGAGATAGAACTTAAGTGTAAAGGTTAAAGAAAAGGTCCTTTATTTCTCACAAGTCAATACTTGTGAGAAATAAAGGACCTTTTCTTTAAACTCTACACTTAATCCCTACTACTCACATATGGCTACCCTCACTCCAAAGAGATAGAACTGATGGTAAGTTGATCCAATTAGGAAACTGTCTTAGTTGAGAATGATGGTGACGAAGAAATTGACATGTTCAACAATCAGAAGAAATATTTTACTCTACAAAAGACTATTTGAAGTGAGACCTATACAAAAAATCCTAAAGAACAGAGAAGCTACTATATAGATAGATGTAAGAATTCTAGTTTCAATATCAAATAATCTCTTTTGCACTAAGTGTCGTGTAAAGTTGTGTTCTATGCATGCGTATAGCCCATTTATTTATTTTACACCTATATTCAATTAAGTACTGAAATAAACTGCCAATTACTTATTCTTTTTTGTATTTTTTAATAATTTAAAATAAGACAGTCAGCGACAGGCTTCTATCTTTAAAAATATATAGATTTCATCACTTTCTAACATATTGACTGGCCAGTTGTTTTTGAAACCAGTGCTAAACAGATTTACATAAACACACACACTTCCTAACATTTTTTTAAAAACAAGACAAATACCATAGGAGTAAATCCTACATTAATATTATAATACTACCTGTATACAGCGGCGTCACGCGCGTGGAGTCGTGTTTTTAAAATAAAAAAATGCATAAACGCAAAAAAAATCAGGAATAATATTTTTTTTAGGGTGCATGATATGTATGTAATATTATTATAGATTAGAGTTAAATAAAGTAATCTAATATTTAAGTATAGTAATCTAATTGAGAATCTTATTTTATACCACATTTCTGGTACGGCTCTCAGCTGTTAATTATACCAGATTGCACGCGGAACTGACTCTCTAACAGGTCACATAAAACTGTCCTTGAGAAAAGGGGTCCTCCACTGGGCTGTCGGGACATCGAGAAGTATGATTTTTATCAATTCATTTCTTATATTTTTCATACCATAATTTTGTTTTTAATTATTTGTACT